TTGTCTGTAAAATACTGGGCTTCTTTTGATCGCCCTCCAGAAATGCTGATTGTTTTTCCACCTTTTTTTTTTTTTTTTTTTTGAGCTCAGAGGTTAGTGTACAAGTGGTTCTCGACTTACAACAGTTCATTTAGTGACCCTTTCGAAGTTACAACAGCACTGAAAAAAGGGACTTTTGACCATTTTTCACACGTATGACTATTACAGCATCCCCGTGGTCGTGTGATCAAAATTCAGGTGCTTGGCAACTGACTCGTATTTATGACGGTTTATCACGTGATCCCCTTTTGCGACCTTCTGACAAGCAAAGTCAATGGGGGGAAGCCCGGTTCACTTAACAACCATGTTACTAACTTAAAAACTGCATTGGTCAGCTTTTCAACTAATAATAATAATAATAATAATAATAATAATAATAATAATAATAATAATAATAATAATAATAATAATAATAATAATAATTAAAAAAAAAAAAAAAGTTGGAAGGGACCTTGGAAGTCATCAAGTCCAACCCCCTGCTCAGGCAGGAAACCCTATACCATTTCAGACAAATGGCTGTCCAGTCTCTTCTTTAAAACTTCCAGGGTTGGAGCCTTCACCGCTTCTGGAGGCAGGTTGTTCCACTGGTTCATTGTTCTCACTGTCAGGAAATTTCTCCTTAGTTCTAGGTTGCTTCTCTCCTTGATTAGTTTCCATCCGTTGCTTCTTGTCCTGCCTTCAGGCGCTTTGGAGAATAGCTTGACTCCCTCTTCTTTGGGGCAGCCCCTGAGATATTGGAAGACTGCTATCATGTCCCCCCTCGTCCTTCTCTTCATCAAACTAGACATATCCAATTCCAGCAACCATTCCTTATATGTTTTAGCCTCCACTCCCCTAATCATCTTTGTTGCTCTTCTCTGTACTCTTTCTAGAGTCTCAACATCTTTTTTACATCGTGGTGACCCAAACTGAATGCAGTATTCCAAGTGTGGCCTTACTAAGGCCTTGTAAAGTGGTATTAATACTTCACGTGATCTAGGGCAAGAAAACTCATAAAATGGGACAAACTCACTTAACAAATGTCTCACTTAGCAACAGAAGTTTTGGGGTCAGTTGTGGTCATTAAGTTGAGGACTACTGGTAGTTCTGTTTGGAAAGCCATGTGTGCTAACTCACAACACAATCTACATTCTGCCTTTCCAAGCTCATAAATAGGACCACAGCATGCAAGAAGCTGTTAGGTTCTCCTCTAATCCATTCGAGCAAAGACAATAGGTGAAAGTCACAGTCCTTGAGCTGTTTCTTCACTGCACCAGCTTCGCGGAAGTTGTGGCTGGCATTAAAATGTGTCATGTCCATCAGCTTTGAGAAACTGGGACCTGCATTTTAACAGCTGGAGAAGAGAGTCCAAGATAGCAGCTGTTACTTTCTTGCTAGATATCTCCAGGAAAAAATTGGTCCATACAGGATCCTCCCATCTTCAGAAAACAAAACTGCTGTTGGTCTTTTTAATGAAAGAATGCAAAGTTACATATTGCAATAAACAATGGATGGAAACTAATCAAGGAGAGAAGCAACCTAGAACTCAGGAGAAATTTCCTGAACAATTAATCAGGGTAACAACCTGCCTCCAGAAGTTGTGAATCATCCAACGTTGGAAGTTTTTAGAAAGAGACCAGACAACCATTTGTCTGAAACGTTTTAAGGTTTTCTGCCTGAGCAGGGGGTTGGACTAGAAGACCTCCAAGGTCCCTTCCAACTCTGTTATTCTCTTATTTTGTTAACAGTTGCAGGAATTGGGTATATCTAGTTTAATGAGAACAAGGACTAGGGAGGACATGATAGCAGTGTACCAATATCTCAGGGGCTGCCACAAAGAAGAGGGAGTCAAGCTATTCTCCAAAGCATCTGAAGGCAGGACAAGAAGCAACGGATGGAAACTAATCAAGGAGAGAAGCAACCTAGAACTAAGGAGAAACTTCCTGACAGTGAGAACAATGAATCAGTGGAACAACCTGCCTCCAGAAGTTGTGAATGCTCCAACATTGAAAGTTTTTAAGAAGAGACTGGACAGCCATTTGTCCAGAATAGTATAGGAATCTTCTGTTTGAGCAGGAGGTTGGACTAGAAGATCTCCAAGGTCCCTTCCAACTCTGTTATTCTGTTATTCTGCTTCCTGGGGCCGCTATAGACTTATGACAACAACTGACACCAGAATTTCTGTTGCAAAGCAAGCCGGTTGTTAAGTGAGTTAATTTTACAAACTTTTTTTTGCTATGCTTGTTAAGCCAATCACTGCAGTGGTTAACTACAGCAAGCAATCGTTAAATGAATCCAACTTTCTCCATTGATTCTTCCAGTCAGAAGCCAGCTGGGAAAGTTGCAAATGGCGATCACATGACCCCAGGACGCTGCATCTGTTGTAAATACAAGAGTTGTAAATACAGCAATATTATGCCTGCCACTGCAAATGAAATCGGGTGTCGCAGAAACTGAGGGCATAATAATAACATAACAGAGTTGGAAGGGACCTTGTTAGGTCATCTAGTTCAACCCCCTGCCCAAGCAGGAGATCCTATATCAGGGGTGTCAAACTCAATTTCATTGAGGGCCACATCAGCATTGCGGTTGCCCTCGGGGGGATGTGTGTGGCCAGAGTGTGTGCAGCCTACTGAATGGGCGTGGATGGAGTGAGCATGACCAGCTCTACATCGTTCGCGTCAAGGGTGCCTGTGGGAGCCTGGGCAGGAGTGGGACAGATCTGCAGGTCTCTGGCAGAAGGGGGTGGGACCGGGGCAAGTGCCAAGGCAGGGTCCATTTCTTCATTCCTCACAAAGGGTGACACCTCCCCAGCATGCACCCAGGGGGCGGGGGCGACGCGTCAGGGGCTGGTTCCTCGCTGTTTCTGGACTGAATGCATTTCAACATAGATGGCCACCACAAAATTGTACATTGGCTCCCGGCCGGCCTGGGCCAGGGCCAAGGCAGCGGGGGCCGTTCCCTCACTGTTTCCAGGATGGCTTCGCGGGCCACATGAAACCACTTCGCGGGCCGCATCCAGCCCCCGGGCCTTGTGTTTGACATGTCTGTCCTATATCATTTCTGACAGATGGCTGTCCAGTCTCTTCTTGAAAGCTTCCAGTGATGAAGCTTCCACAACTTCTGAAGGCAAACTGTTCCTTTGGTTGATTGTTCTCCCTGTCAGGAAACTCCTCCTTGCTTCCAGGTTGAATCTCTCCTTGATCAATTTCCATCCGTTATTCTTTCAGGGGCTTTGGAAAATAGGTTGATCCCCTCCTCTCTGTGACATCCCCTTGTAGAGCATTGTCCCAAACTATTTAAAATACTCCACTATCCAGAATTAATAAATGGTCTATGCCTAATCTTAAGCTCTCCTACTCTATATATTGCGGCATTTAATTGTACAGTTAACACTACAATGTAGAATTTGTTTCTCCTAAAGAAGCAGAACAACAGAGAAGAAAAACTGATAGCTTGTTTTCTATTGACTTTCAGCAAGGTGGCTCTGCTATAGACCACTGCCCTCTAGTGGTAAGATGACCTTTTTTCCTTCAAAAATAGTTTAAAATAAAACGTATTCACTACAGATAGTCCTCGATTTACAACGGTTCATTTAGTGACCGTTTGAAGTTACAGCAGTACTGAAAACAGTGACTTAGGACCATTGTTCACACTTACGACCGTTGCAGCCTCCCCATGGTCATGTGATCAAAATTCGGATGCTTGGCAACTGACTCATATTTATGACGGTTGCCGTGTCCCGGGATCATGTGATCTCCTTTTGCGACCTTCTGAACAGCAAAGATATCATCATCATCATCATCATCATCATCATCATCATTCCAAACCCTAACCCTATCTTGCATCACAGATTTAAAAATCAAGTGTTTGGATCAATCATTGTTAGGGATTATTGTATCTGATCTGCAAAAAGGGAGGGAGGGAGGGAGGGAGAGAGAGAGAGAGAATGTAACGCCGCTGTTGCACAAGCTGCACTGGCTGCCGGTGGCTTTCCGGGTGCGCTTCAAGGTGTTGATTATCATCTTTAAAGCGCTCCATGGCATCGGACCTGGTTATCTCCGAGACCGCCTTCTGCCGCAGATTACCTCTCATCGGCCGATACGCTCCCACAGAGAGGGTCTCCTCAGGATGCCGTCAGCCAGACAGTGCCGGCTGGCGACCCCCAGGGGGAGGGCCTTCTCGGTGGGAGCCCCCACCCTATGGAACGAACTACCCCCAGAGATCCGGGTGATTCCGGATCTCCCCTCCTTCCGCCGCGCCCTCAAGACATGGCTATTTAAGCTAGCAGGTCTGGCCTAAGGGATATTTTAATCTGGTTTTTAAAATAATTTTAAAAAGAAATGGCCAATTAATATTTTGTTTTAATTACTTTTTAAATTTAGTATTTATTGTATTATGTATTGTTTTAAATGGCTGTAAGCCGCCCTGAGTCCGTTGGGAGAAGGGCGGGGTAGAAATTTAAATAAAGTTAAAGTTAAAGTTAAAAAGAATGAAAGAGAGAGAGAATGAAAGAAAGTGAGAGAATGACAATGAAAGAGGGAGAGGGAGTGTGAGAGAGAGAGAATGAAAGAAAGAATGAGAAGGAAAGAGGGAGAAGGAAAGGGAGGGAGGGAGAGAAAGAGAGAGAATGAGAGAGAATGAAAGAGATGAGAAAGAATGAAAGAAAGAGAATCAGAATGAAAGAGGGAGAGGGAGGGAAAGAGAGAGAGAGAAAAACAGAGAGAATGTATTGGCTCTTTGCTGCCATCTAGTGGTCGGGAGTTTTGCAGCTAACATTGCCTGGTTTCCACCCTTCTACGAGTACGAGTCCGCTCGGCATACATTTCCCACCGTGCTTTGAGGCCAGAGGAGGGGGGGAGAGAAGAACGCCGGTCACATAAAAACTACATTTCCCAGAGAGCCACGGGGTTCCAGACCGGAAGTCACTCTTTTTGTAGACTTGCTTTGGATGTCTTTTGGTGTCGGTTCTGTCTTTCCAGCCAGAAGTCGGTGAGAAGATGCTGCAAATCAGTTCCAGGGGCCTGAGGTTGTTGTTGCGGGACACCCACGGCTTTTCTACACGATTCAGAGGTGAGATAACTTTTAGTCTCATTAACCAGGAATGCTTCGCTTTCCAATCTGATAAACCGAGAAAGCCGGTGTATTTCGCTTGGTTTTATTTCCAAACTATGTTACTGTTTGGGCTTGCTTTCTGAGAATTATATCTGAGAAATATTCTGAAATATCACATCTGATATTAATCCAATATATTGAAACAAAATCAAACGTTGTGTTAAAGCTGCTTTTAAAACTCAGTTCAGATATATATTAGTTTGCATTTAGTTTGTGCTTTGTTGCGTTTTCAAGATAGATAGATAGATAGATAGATAGATAGATAGATAGATAGATAGATAGATAGATAGATAGATAGATAGATAGATATAGATATATAAATATAGATATAGATATAGATAGATAGAGAGATATAGATAGAGGGAGAGAGATGATATAGATATATAAATATAGATATAGATAGATAGATAGATAGATAGATAGATAGATAGATAGATAGATAGATAGATAGATAGATAGATAGATAGATAGATAGATAGATAGATGCAACAAATATATATTGCATACATAAGCAGACAACTCAACCGTACCATGCTCCTCAGGTTTTGCTGCTTCGGCCTCAGCGCACTCGTACGATATGAGAAGAGTCGAAATAACTCCGCTGGAGCAACGAAAACTCACCTTCGACACCCATCGTCTTGTGCGAGATCTAGAAGCCCATGGTGAGCAAACACCTCCAGTGAAAAGTGTCTAAGAGAACTTTCCTCCATGCCATAGCAATAGCACTGAGACTTATATACCACTTCACAGGGCTTTATAGCACTCTCTAAGCGGTTTTCAGTGTCAGCCTATTTCCCCCCAACAATCTAGGGTCCTCATTTTACCGACCTTGGAAGGATGGAAGGCGGAGTTAACTTTGAGCCGGTCTGGATCAAACTACGGGCAGTCGGCAGAGTTAGCCTGCAGTACTGCATTCTAACCACTGCGACACCATCCCTTCCTTCCTTCCTTCCTTCCTTCCCAATAGCATTTAGACTTATATACCGCTTCACAGTGCTTTACACCCTCTCTAAGCGGTTCACAGAGTCACAATTCACAATCTGGGTCCTCATTTTACTGACCTCGGAAGGATGGAAGGCAGAGTCAACCTTGAGTTCGGTCAGGATCGAACTCCAGACTGTAGGCAGAATTTAACCTGCAATACTGCATTCTAACCACTGGGCCACCACCATTATTCTATCTCTGAATATCTTTCAACACTGAGCGTTGGCTTATGGGTGGGATCCTTCAATGGGTGGCATCAGCTCTCCACAAGATCCTTCTGACAGATAACCCTCGACTTAACAACCACAAGAGAGACAGAATTTCCACTGCTAGGCAAGGCAGTCATTGAGTCATGCTAAAAAAAATATTTTTTGCCACAGTTGTTAAATGATTCACACCGTTGTTAAGGGAATCTGATTTCTCCCATTGACTATTTGTCGGAAGCTTGGTGAGAAGGTCTCAAGTGGCAGTTACATCAGCCCAGGATGCTGCAGGCATCATAAATACGGTGATACCGGTTGCAAAGCACGCAAATTTTGATCATGTGACTCTGGGGAATTGTGTGATGATAGGAAATGTATGGACCATTGAAAGTCCCCTTTTTTTCTTAACTTTGAATGGTCACTAAATGAATGGTTGTAAGTCAAGGACTACCTGTATTGCTTAAGAAGGAACATCACTACCTTACAGGTAATCCTCGGCATACGACCACATTGGAGCCTAAAATTTCTGTTGCTAAGCGAGACAGTTGTTAAGTGAATTTTGCCCCATTTTACGACCTTTCTTGCCACAGTTGTTAAGTGAATCGCTGCAATAGTTAAGTTAGTAACACGGTTGTTAAGTCAATCTGGCTTTCCCTGTCAACTTTTGCTTGTCAGAAGGTCGCCAAAGGGGATCACGTGACGCCCCAGGAGGTTGCAACCGTCATAAATATGAGTCAGTTGCCAAGAATCTGAATTTTCATCAAGGGATTGTGAGGATGCTAACAACAGTCAAAAGTGTGAAAAATGATGATAAGCCACTTGTTCAATGCTGTTGTAACTGTGAACGGTCACTAAATGAACTGTTTCTAAGTGGAGGACTTTCTGTACAGTTTTCTCGTCAGTATCATGGAATTGGTTTCCCATCGTCGACTTCTGAAATGTTTCTCAATTTTCTTGCTTTAACTTTCTTGTCTAACTCGTCCTGAGATTCCTTGGCTGCTTCCCATCCAAATCTTAACCAGTCCTGACCCTGCTTAGCTTCCAAGCCCTATTAAGGTCCCTGAGGTATTGCCACCTGCTCCCTTGCTTCCATGAAGATGGTGTTGAGAACAAGTAGCATAAAACCTTATGGATTATTAGAAGGATAAGGGGGAAAAATGGAGTTCTGCTTTTCAACTTGGTTAACCTGAACTCTGAATTGACTAGATTACGGTGTACTTTATATACTCAACAGGGTTTGCAAAAGAACAGGCTGAAACGGTTGTCTCGGCATTAATGAGTTTGTCATCGGTCAGCCTGGACACCGTCTACAAGGATATGGTAACACAAGCCCAACAGGTAACCAACCAATGAGTTATTCCTTGGATTTCTCACTTTTTATGGGCCTTAATACAGGTAGTATCCTCAACCTACAACCACAATTGGTACCAGATTTTCTGTTGTTAAACAAGGCAGTTGTTAAATGAGCTGCATTTGAATTTAAGACTACTTTAACTATGGTTAAGCGAAGCGCCGCAGCTGTTGAATGAATGATATGGTTAAGCAGATCTGGATTCCCCCATTGACTTTGCTTGGTGGGAGCCAGCAGGGAAGGTTGGAAATGGTGAGATCACGTGATACACACACACACATACTGGGATGCTGCAGTGTCAGAGCATGCACAGTCTTATTACGCTGAGGTAATCCAGGGGTAAATACAGTACACAGTGGTTTGTATTTAAATGGTGGTTTATATTACACCATCTACAAATATACACTAGAAACAAAATACATACACGGGGTGACACAGCAAACTCCAACACACAGCAGTTCAGCAGGAAAGGGACGAGAGAGAAAGACTCCAGCAAGGCCTTCCCTTTTATACTCAAACTCTTAAAGGGATACAGACTCCTGCTGAGTCATTCCTAACACTGCATCGTTCATCTCACGTTATACAAGCTGGTTAGTTTCTAAATCATTACCTTGATGTGCAGCCTTTGGGACGGTGGGGATGCTGCAACAGTTGTGTGAGGATCTGCTATAAGTCACTCTTTTCAGAGCTGCTGTATTTTCAAACGGCCGCTAAACAAATTATTGTAAGTTGAGGACTACCTTGTAATCGTGACATAATCTTCGCAATCGTCTTCATGATTATTTAGGCAATGCATAGCTTAAGTTCGAACAGCATTCTTCAAAATGAAAAAGGTCTTCTGCAGTCACGACATAAGCCTAAGACTGAAAATCAGGCTTGTCAGATGCTATCTTTTTTTCTATCCTGCTCTATGGAGTAGAGAGTTGGTCTCTGACAGAAGGCCACCTGAAGAGAGTAGAAGCATTTGAAAGGTGGATTTACAGGCGGCTGTTACGTAGAAGCTGGGTTGACAAGATCAGAAATGAGGAGGTGATAAGCCGCCAGGGAAAGCCAAGGGAAATCATCAAAACAATTAAAAAATGAAAGTTAGAATATTTCGGACATGTGATGCGACACCCAGAAAAATACGGCATACTCCATTTAATCCTCCAGGGAAAGATTGAAGGCAAACGAAGTCCAGGCAGAAGAAGAACATCATGGCTTCAAAATCTAAGGGACTGGTTTGGACAAAACTCAGCAGCACTTTTTCGTGCGGTTGCTGATAAAAACAGGATCGCCAACATGATCGCCAACGTCCGATAACGGATATGGCACAAGAAGAAGAAGAAGAAGATAGCTTAAGTACAGCCTTGTTCTCTCAAGTTGGAAGCCAGTTGTGTGTTGCAGGGATATTTTGAACTTTTAGATTTTCTGGCTTTTTTACCAGGAATTTAGGGTCGATAATATGGGAATCATCTTTCCCTATAAAAATGTACAGATTTGAATAAGAGGAAGTAAGGTAAAGGGGTAAAGATTTCCCCTGTCTGACTCTAGAGGGCGCTGGTCATCTCTGTTTCTTGACTGAGGGATCCAGCGTTGTCCGAACATGCTTCCGTGGTCATGTAGCCAATATGACTGTATGCCAAGGCACACAGAACACAGTTACCTTCCCGCTGAAGTGGTACCTATTAATCTACTCACATTTGCATGCTTTTGAACTGTCAGGCGGGCACGAGCTGGAGCAAAGAACAGGAGCTCACCCCTTCTTACAGTGCTCAGATCTCAAACCCAGCCTGTCAGCTTTCTAGCTGATAAGCTCAGCATCTTTAGCCACTGCACCCCCAAGAGAAAGTGATTGATCCTAAATCATCCTATGAGACTTGAACCTTGGTCATTCCACTCCAAACAGAACGTGTGAATTGTTACACTTTGGCAGTGAGATGGCCTTTGTAAAATTGTCACCCTCAAGGGAAGCCGTAGAAGTGTGCGCAAAACATTTTGAGATCTAATTGTCCTGACGTTAGATACGTGCCTTAAAAAGTCTGTGTGTGTACATGTATATGTTTGTATATAATGTATAAAAATGTGTATATATGTATATGTGTTTGTATAATGTATAAATACAGTGTATGAAGTTTGCCACTGCTTCTCCAAAATTTCCCATCAAACAGGTTGTCATTACACAGAACATTCTTCTGACGTATTCCCGTCTCATCAATTAAATATCCTGCCGGAAAACAAGGAATATTTAAGATGCCTTGAAAATGTTGTGTGTTTATGTAGTGCAGCGGTAGGCAACCTTGGCTCTTTTATAACTCGTGGACTTCAACTCCCAGAATTCCTGAGCCAGCGTGGGGGAAACTTTGGCCCCTTCATGATTCGTGGACTTCAACTCCCAGAATTCCTGAGCCAGCCATGCTGAGGGGAAAGGGAGAGGTTTCCAAGCTGAGCCGTGCTGGCTCAGGAATTCTGGGAGTTGAAGTCCACGAGTCATAAAAGAGCCAAGGTTGCCTACCCCGCTATAAGTGCATTTTTATTTTATGTTTTAGGAAATAACTTTGCAACAGATAATGTTTCATCTGGATTCCATTCGCAAGGATATGGTCATTCTTGAGAAGAGCGAGTTTGCCAATTTGAGAGCAGAAAACGAGGTATTATTCCCCCTCCCCCCCAAAAAATGCCCTGAGCCTTATTTGTTTAGTTTGGGAAGGTATTCTGCAAAACTGACATTTTCAGATTTTACATGTTACGGGCAGTGTTTCAAATTCAGTCCCAAGCAAGAGTTTGTGGGGGCATGAACGGAATGGTTGGTTGCAGCCCTTTAAAGCAGCTGCATCATTGCTCAAATGTGTGAAGGCGGCTGTGAATTTTAACATATATTTTGCTGTTACAGCTTCTTTATACCATCCGCTGTTCCTCTGCTTTCTCCCTCTCTTCCTTAGAAAATGAAAATTGAATTGGATCAAGTTAAACATCAGCTAATGGTAAGTAGAACGGGCTCAGCCCAACTCTTAGGTTTTAGGATGGAGCTACACCTGCTTTTAAAAAATAGTTGTAGACAATCTTTTCATTCAAGAAAATCTGGTCCTCTTGGTTTTGCTAGACAGCTGGAGCCCTTAAACCATTTGTGCTTTTGGGAAACCTTGAGCAAGGCCCCCACCCAGCCCTGTGGCATTCTGCCAGGTAGTGTAACTGAAGAGTAAATATTAATTTTAAATAAAGATGCTAGTCACAACTGTGCAACAGCAGGAAAGGAGAAACGAGGATCTTACATAAGGTACTGAAATCAGGTTTCAATCAGAATAGAGCTGAAAGGGACCTTGGAGGTCTTCTAGTCCATCCCCCTGCTCAAGCAGGAACCCCTATACCAGGGGGAGGCAACCTTGGCTCTTTTATGACTCATGGACTTCAACTCCCAGAATTCCTGAGCCAGCATAGCTCAGCTTGGAAACTTCTCCCTTTCCCCTCAGCATGGCTGGCTCAGGAATTCTGGGAGTTGAAGTCCACGAGTCATAAAAGAGCCAAGGTTGCCTACCCCTGCTCTATACCATTCCAGACAAATGGCTGTCCAGTCTCTTCTTAAAAACCTCCAGTGATGGAGCACCCACAACATCTGAAGGCCAGCTGTTCCACTGGTTAATTGTCCTCACTGTTAGGATGTTTCTCCTTAATTCCAGGTTGTTTCTCTCCTTGATTAGTTTCCATCCATTGTTTCTTGTCCTGCCTTCACGTGCTTTGGAGAATAGCTTGACTCCCTCTTCTTTGTGGCAGCCCCTCAAATACTGGAACACTGCTATCATGTCGCCCCTAGTCCTTCTTTTGCCTAGATTCAGCCATGGGTTTCAAATAGCAAGATCTCCAAAGAGAAATAGAATTTTCAGGCAGGCTTGAAAATTCAGGAACAGAATATTCTGTTTTCTGCTTCCTAAAATTGGGAGGGGCGTGTTTTTTTCTCCTTTTTTTAAAGAATGAAACTAATCAAATCAAAGCGGAAAACAAGCTAGACATCAACTTGGAGAGAAGCAGAGTGACCGATATGGTGAGTAGTTCCGTGTTGGTATTTTTTTTTCCTTACCATTGACTTGCAACCACAATGGAACCCCACATTTCTGTTACTAAACAAGGCAATTGTCAAGGGACCATTTGTCTCCATTTTACTATCTTTTTTGCCACAGTTGTTAAGTGAATCATGTGGTCATTAAGTGAATCGGGTGGACATTAAGCAAATCTGGCTTCTCCCACTGACTGCTTGTCATTGTAACCGTGTCATTGTAACCGTGAACGGTCACTAAATCAGGGGTCTTCAAACTTGGCCCCTTCAGCCAGGCATGCTGGCTGAGGAATTCTGGGAGTTGAAGTCCACCAGTCATGAAGGGGCCATAGTTCCCCCATGCTGGCTGAGAAATTCTGGGAGTTGAAGTCCACAAGTCATAAAAGGGCCAAGTTTGAAGACCCCTGCACTAAATGAATGCTTGCAAGTCAAGAACGAACTCTACTTTTTGAGCTGATTCTGTTTTTCTTCCTTTTTTAATGTTTTTCTTCCTTTTTCTAATTCTCCAGTTCACAGATCAGGAAAGAAAGCTGATGGAAGCCTCAACAGAATTTCATAAAAAGGTAAGAGTTTGAACCACTTTTGTTCCAAATTCTAGAAACTCTTTGTTTGATTTGAAATACATCTGTTGGTTTGCAGGCCAAACGGGGTTGCAGGGCAAAAATTTCCATTTGTCCCCTGCCGGGAAATGCTTCTATTTAGCATCTCCATTTGATTCTCACAGACCTGCCTCTCCTTCCCTGTCAGCCTTCCAGTTCTCTGACTCCAATTCCCAGAATTCTCTTCAATTGCCGTAACAGGATTGGAATTCTGGGGAATAAAAAGTCCACAATCTAAAGCAGTTTTTCTCAACCTTGGCAACTTGAAGATCTGTGGATTTTCAGCTCCCAGAATTCCCCAGCCATTTGGTTTCTGTAAACTAGTGGTGTACATTTGGGTTTCTGTTACTTATATTCTCAAGCTCACATTTTTGGAATGAATAACAGGAGATACATATTTTAAATTGGTGGAAAGTTAAATCTCCCTCAAATCAAGGTTGGCTTCCGGTCAATCCAAGGACCCAACCAGGTTTTTTTGGCCAAAAACATGGAAATGGTTTGTTACTAGCTATCTTCTAGGATGTGTTTTCAATTTTCTAGTCTAGGGTAGTCTAATCTAGCCAGCAATCTTGGGATTTCCTTGTGGTATCTCATCCCAATATTAACCTGGTCCGATCTTGCTTAGTTTTTCTGAGAACACCCAAACTTAGTTAGGTATTTCTATCTGCTGACTTTCACTAATAAAGAATGCTGTATTTTTTCCCCCCCGGATTCGCTTTAACAACTGCAGTGATTCCTTTAAAACCGTAGGAAAAGAGGTGGTAAAATTGCAACATAACTCACTTAGCAATCACTTTGCTTAGCAATAGAAATTTTGTTCCCAATTTTAGTTGTAAGTCAAGACTACTTGTACATTTGTAGTAGGTAGCAACATGACAGAAGGCAATGCGTACATTTTAAATAACCTGACAGAACAGAAATAACCTTTTCCTAGTATCCAAAGTTAGCTAATTCTTGGTTAGTTGATTCCTGATCAGGGGCTGCCACAAAAAAGAGGGGGGGTGTCAAGCTAATTCTCCAAAGTGCCTGAAGGCAGGACAAGAAGCAACGGATGGAAACTAACCAAGGAGAGAAGCAACCTAGAACTAAGGAGAAATTTCTTAAGAGCGAGAACAATTAATCAGTGGAACAACCTGCCTCCAGAGGTTGTGGGTGCTCCAGCACTGGAGATTTTTAAGAAGAGATTGGACAACCATTTGTCTGAAATGGTATAGGGCAGTGGTGGCGAACCTATGGCACGTGTGCCAGAGGTGGCACTCAGAGCCCTCTCTGTGGGCACACACACCGTTGCCCCAGCCCCGCCTCCCCTCACGGCCCCCTCCCCCTAACCAGCAGCCCCCCTGGAGGAGAGTCGCTCCCGAGCGCAGTCTGCATGGAGAAGCATAGCCAATGATATGGCAGCCGGGCAGCGGGGACAAGACGCCGCCCTCACACCCCGTCACACGCAGTTGATGCTGTGGGGTGTGGGCGGAGGGCGTGGCCACCATGGCGCTGCTGGGCCGCCTGGGAATCTGCAGCAGGCCGTGAGTGGCCCTGCGGGTGGGCGGAGTGGGGACGGAGTGGGGGCGGGGTGGGGGCGGGGCAGAGCGGAGTGGAGCAGGGGTGGGCTGGGGGTGGGGGCGGTTTTTGGGCACTCGGTCTCTAAAAGGTTCGCCATCACTGGTATAGGGCAGGGGTAGGCAACCTTGGCTCTTTTATGACTCGTGGACTTCAACTCCCAGAATTCCTGAGCCAGCATGGGGGGAAACCTTGGCTCCTTCATGACTTGTGGACTTCAACTCCCAGAATTCCTGAGCCAGCATGGGGAAAACCTTGGCCCCTTCATGACTTGTGGACTTCAACTCCCAGAATTCCTCAGCCAGCATGGCTGGCTCAGGAATTCTGGGAGTTGAAGTCCACGATTCATAAAAGAGCCAAGGTTGCCTACCCCTGGTTATAGGGTTTCCTGCTTGAGGGGGTTGGACTAGAAGACCTCCCAAATCCCTTCCAGCTCTGTTATTCTGTTACAAAGGATGTTGATGCCACACTAAGCCACAGGGAGAAAATTTCCTGTCTCTGCCAACTGCTCTGCTCATTTTTGGGTGCCAAATGATGCTGCGTGTCCTTCTAGGATTCAAGCACCAGCAGTTCCCTTACAGAAGTCAACAATAAGATTGACGCTGAAATTGCAGCTCTCAAAACACTCATGGAGTCGAATAAGCTGGAAACCATCCGTTACTTAGCAGGTATGTGCCTGGCACGTTAAAAGCCAGCCTCCAAAGCGGGATGCTTAGCAACCGAAACAAACTGGCGTCATTTTCTCTGGCTGCTGAAGGGCTTCACCATTCCATACTATGCCGTGGAGATTCTCAGGTGCTTTTTTAAAAGGCAACTGGGGTGTTTTCTCCTTGAGGAAGAAGAAGAAGACATTTCACTTCCCATCCAAGAAGCTTCCTCAGTTCTGACTGGATGGTGAGGGGATGGAAGGATTTAGTTCTGACCAGTCAGAACTGAAGAAGCTTCTTGGATGAGAAGCGAATGTTTCTTCTTCTTCTTCTTCTTCTTCTTCTTCTTCTTCTTCTTCTTCTTCTTCTTCTTCTTCTTCTTCTTCTTCTTCTTCTTCTTCTTCTTCTTCTTCTTCTTCTTCTTCTTCTTCTTCTTCTTCTTCTTCTTCTTCTTCTTCTTCTTCTTCTTCTTCTTCTTCTTCTTCTTCTTCTTCTTCTTCTT